TGACATCGAAACAACGTTGATCTGACATTGTTTTGCTCATCGAATTAACGTTGAACCAACGTCAGACGCGTCATTCTTTCAAAACTAACGGAAAATCAACTTGAAATCAACGCGTTGTTTCAACGTTATGAAAGCAAACCAATTTTCGATTTCATTTAGCTTTGAAGAATGCCGCGTCTGACGTTGGTTCAACGTTAATTCGATGAGCAAATCAACGTTGTTTCAATGTCATGAGAGACGTCGTTTCCACGTTGATTCAATGTCAGTTTGCTGTCTGGGTACGTATTATGTGACGTTGCAAACGCGCCTCACAATATATTACAAGGCTAGCATTTGTCCGTAGAAAAGTTACATTTTTGGAATAAGCTTTGAAATAACCGCCCGTTTCGCATGATAAGACCCTTATTCATCGTTTGGTGTCGTTTAAAGACATTTGAAGCTGCATCTGTAACTGTTATTAACTGTCGTTTGGATCTCGGTTGGACCTGGTTCCCATTGAAGTCCATTATAAAGGAGAAAAATCCTGGAATGTTTTCATCAAAAACCTTAATTTCTTTTCGACTGAGGAAAGAAAGACATGGACATCTTGGATGACATGGGGGTGAGTAAATTATCAGCAAAAGTTTTTTTAAAAGTGAACTAATCCTTTAAACTATCAAATATACAAGGTTATTTCAAAAAACACACAAAAATCACGTCGGTAATGTCTGTGAACGTAAACAGCAGGGAAAGAAATCGCATGTGTGTATTAGATCTAGAGTAATATACACAGGACATACTGCTGTTAATATGAATCAAACAATGAAAGAAAAACAGAAAATCCCTCACTACTCTTGACTGAATAACTTTAGTAGCTTTTCTTACTTGAGTGCTGCTGTTAAATGCTCTGGCGAGGAGATAAACCTGGCGGACTGTGTTCAGCTCACTGAGGTCTATGCTAATAGGGCGGAGTCTGACAGCAGTTGTGGGCGGGGCCTGAGCAATGTGACGTCACATTGAATAGAATCTGAAAACACTTATTCTGAGAGATTGCTTATGATTTATGGGGATTTAAAAAAAAGGAATGGGTTGATTTTTACCATTAAAGGGTGGTTGTGTACACACATGGCCAACACACGTTTATGTTCAAACACAATGTAAAAGTGAAATTTGCTCAATAGAGTTGGTCCCCTATAATATCAGCTTTATTTTGACATTCTACTGATTATAAGTCACTTTGCCACAACGCATTACACGAACCCTAACACCTACACTCTAAACAATGCTGGGTTGTTTGAACCCAAATTTGGGTAAAATATGGACACACCCAACTATTGGGTTAAAAATGTCATTTTTAACTGTACGTTTTTTAATTGCATTTTTGACGCAACATTTGGGTTGTGAATATGGACAAATATTGGGTTGTGAATATTGGGTTGTCAAATATGGACAAACCCAAATGTTGGGTTAAAAATGTCAACTTTTACTTTCAACTGTACATTTTTTAATTGCATTTTTAACCCAATATTTGGGTTTGTCCATATTTGACCCAAATTTGGGTTGAAACAACCCAGCATTTTTAAGAGTGTAACAGTCTACTAATACTCTAATTCGAGTTAGATGACATGTACTGTAGATCCAAAGTTACTTATTGTTAGAACAATGTGTACAGGGAAATATGAAAATAAGCCGTAACCATCAGTTGTTCTAACAGTAAATAAGAATTTGTATTGCATTTTTCCATCTAAAATGTCATCATGGATACCTCTAAACAAGAGCACTGACATTTACAAAAACACAACTACTAACATTTACAGTGGCTACAGGCCGTGTGCTTTCATAATAATCATTAACCAAACAAAGTCAATGATTATCCACTATGTCAACCGTTCACATGAGCTTGTCATATGTAAAAGTGATTTTTATTTTGTGGAAGAAAAAAAAGTAAAATGCTGCGCTGCATCAATTCAGTCAAACAAAACAATGGCAGCCTAATCTAAATAATTTGGTTTAAAGTCATTGCGAAATCAACTTATACTTCTTATATCATACTTATATTATACTTCTTCTATATGCTTTGTTTTCTTGTTGAGAAGGTTTATTTTGTTTTGTAAAATCAAAATGGCAGCTAACATGTTTTAAAATGACACTGACATTAGTGTCAGACATTATAGACCGTCTCGAATCATTTCTAGATGCATTTCTAAGGGATTCTCTCAGGACTACAGCCCCCTTCGATTTATTAGGATTCTCCCCCAACACTGTGCATCTTCAATGCAGGGACGTGTGCTGATGCTAGAACAATGTAGTCTATTATTTACTCACTCATTTTCTTACCAGTGCAGACACCTCGTTAGTATGTGATCGCAGAGATTTGCGCCTCCTTTACAGAACCTCCTTTACCACATTGACACTTGGGTTTGATTGGCTGCCTATGTGTAGATCCCAATGGCAGTCAGTGCAGTGAAGCAATATGAGGTCTGTTTGTTAATGAGACCACACTGCAGAGGTTGAGGAGAGCTTCAGAAACCCACTCGGCCGCTGAGGTTACCACATCACAACAGCACTGAAGTCAACACACGACGATGTGAGTGTATGTGCTCAGACAAGTACAAATGTTACATATATACATTGACATTATAAGGGCTTGCTGGATATCACAGTTGTCAGTTGTTAGACAGCATACAGCTGCATCTTATACTTAGTTCGCCCAGAAATGAAAATTAGTCCGAATTTACTAATCCTCAGACCGGTATGAATTAAATTAAACACAAATAAAGGTATTTTGAAGAACGTCAGTAACCAAACAGTTGGTGGACCCATTGTATTTTTGTTTTCCATACTATGGAAGTTAATGCGGTCCAACTGTTTGGTTTCCGACATTCTTCAAAATATCATCTTTTGTGTTCAGCAGAAGAAATAAACTCATACAAGTTTGGAACAACTTGAGGGTGAGTAGGCCTAAGTGATGACACAATTTTTATTTTTGGGTGAGCTGATCCTGTTAACAAAAAATGACAAAATGTCTTTAAAAATGGGTTGTGATACATGATAAATGCAATCAACCATTGTACAGCTATTTCTAAAGGTAATAGCCAATGGAAATGGTCATTTCACCTAAGGGTGGCCATTTGTCCTCCTTTTAAGATCGTCACAATTTTAAACTTTATCCAATGTTATATAATGAATAAATATTTGAAAAAAATATGAAGTGATGTACATTTTATTAACAATATCGTCGATGTCAACTGTTTAAAAAGTTTTTAAAAAATAGTTGCCTATCTGATCAACAGATTTGTGTTGTGTTCCTCAATGAATCAGTTGTTTTCAACGAATCAATTGAATGAATAAATCAATGATATATATATATATATTAAGCTTCAAATTTTCCAACAGTTCATATTTCTATATTAAATAAATGTTATATTTAAAAACGTAATTGCGTAACATTATTTATGCAGCTGTAATTGCTCTGTAAATATAAATATCATTCCTTAAAGGGATAGTTCATGTTGAAATTAATGTTTGGTATGTTTTAGCTTACCTCAAGGGCATCCAAGATGTAGGTGTCTTTGTTTCCGCAGTAGTTTCAATTTTGATATTTTTAGGTCAAACCGTTGTTGTCTGTCAGTCATATAATGCAGGTCTATGGTCACCACCTCAAAGAGCATGCACAGAAAAGTCCAAATTAAACATGATTTAATGACTCGTGAATGTAAGCACACATTGATGGCCTAAGACACGAAACGAGCGGTTTGTGTGAGAAAACGAACAGTATTTATATCGTTTTTACCTCTTGTAACCACAGCCACGTCCAAGTGATCTGAGGGTTACAAGAGGTAAAAACGATATAAATGCTGTTCGTTTTCTCACACAAACCGCTCGTTTCGTGTCTTAGGCCATTACATTCACGAGTCATTAAATCATGTTTAATTTGGACTTCTCTGTGCATGCTCTTTGAGGTGGTGACCATAGACCTGCATTATATGACTGACAGACAAGAACGGTTTGACCTAAAAATATTAAAACTGAAACTACTGCGGAAACAAAGATGCCCTTGAGGTCAGCTAAAACATACCAAAAATGAATTTCAAAGTGAACTATCCCTTTAATGGAAAAGTTCATTTCTGTCACTTAACTAGATATCAATATTGGTCGACCACTATTTAAGCAAAAAAGTTCTTGAAAGTCTGCTAGGAAATATTCAAGTCTCAAACAACACACTATTTTCTTTTCGTCTCTCCAACAATTCCATGAAAACCTCAGGTTGTGTAATCTTGCATGCCATCTTTCTCACACCTCTCTGTACTTCCACAAAGCCGGGGTTATTCAGCGTTGCCAAGGGAACTTGCTTTTGAATTCAAAGTGATTTTGACTCAGAAAATACCGACAGACTGTGCCCACAAAACACTTCTATCACCGAATGCTCATCCTCTTACTGCAACACTTTCACTTGCAAATCAGACTGGACAAGCATGGATGCCGCAAAAGAACTGTCATAATTACAAAGCGATTCCATCACACAAAAACATCAAAGCAGAAACACAAAACGACTTGTCATGTGCTGAGCAAGCGTAGCGGTCGAAGCCATTCGGGAAAAGCAAGTTTCTGTTCTGTCGTGAAACTATGAAATCCTCTCTCGCGGTCCCTCGCTGACCTCTCCCGACTCCAACACACAACGTCTGGCTTCTCAATCTAACCCTGTCGGTTCTTGAGTTTTGTATTTGCCTCGCTTATGCTATGTTACCACTATTAAGCTATTCAATCAGTACCAATATATTTCACGTGAGCTCCACAGTGCACTAACTGGATCATTACAGTAAAGATTATGAGATAATATATGGGGTACAGCGGTTCTCCACTCGTTCTCGAGCTGAGATCTATCAAACAGTGACTGCTTTATTACCAATGGACAAGGATGATAATTAACACCGAACGTCCACCAATGGACAATCATTCCCCCGTCTCGTTCAGTCAGTGATATGAAGCAGCGTTGAAGCAATAAAGCTCGTAGTACTCACATGCATGAGTGACAGAGAAACTGTTGGATGACTCCAGGTTATCTACGTTGTAATTGAGATGGAAGGGTTTCTCAGTCGTGTTCTGGTTGGTGTTGTAGAGCTGCACAGCGAATCTGAAAGCGCTGTGTTCTTGCACGGTGGAGCGCATGAAGAGCCCACCTTTATGAAGACCAAACAGCAATGGATCAGATGTGATGCACAGATTTCATGCATGCAAACAACTGGTTTAAATCAGCACTATAGAGAGTCAAATCCTTAGTGTTTGATTCGCATCCATTCGTAGGAAGCAACTTTCTCTCAAGTTTGAAAGCTGACATGCGTGCAGATTCATGCAAACCTAAACATTTCACATAAACAATCATAATCGTTTTATTAGTTATGCCAATTGGGTTTGGTGTCATTTGTGATGATTCCTTAGATTGTATTAGTGGTGCACTTAACACAGCAAGCAATACGTCTTCGTTTAACCCATATACGCATATACATCGAAACCAGACATCGACACACATACACACACACACACACACAGCCTAGCGATTAAAGAAAGGCAAGCGTATCCGGACGGACTCACCGATGTTGATCTGATTTGGAAAGCCAGCGAGAGATGTGCCGAATAGCCATAATAAAAAAAGCAGCGCGCTTTGAGCCATTTTCTCTCCTGCCTCAAACAAAACCAAGCCTCATAAAACGAACTGTTTGAGGAGAATCATAAACGCAAAAATCCAGCCGTGAGTGAAGCGGAGCGACTCATGGAGAACAATTCTTCTGCATGTGGAGAGAGAGAGAAAGAGAGCGAGGGGGAGATGTAGAGAGAGAGAGAGAGAGAGAGAGAGGGACTGGTGCTGAAGATGGTCGAGGCGACTCAGTGGGAGCATCATATTCAGAGTGAGCGCGAGCGGCTCATTCATTGGACAAGCTGGGCGATATTGATCAAACTTGAAGATGGAGATTCGGTAACACTTTCTATAAAGCCTGTAGATTAATGAATGCATTACAGAGCACATCAAAATCCGATTTATTTCACGAATGACCGTAACCACATTTATAATGCAATATACATTAATAAAGGAATGCGTTTTATCATACACAATTTCCAAAACATTGTAACCGTAATGTCATTGGCTTCCGTTGATATAGTCCTTTCACCGACTGACGCAAACTTTTATGATGTAGCTATTATGATGTAACCCATCTGGTGTTGGTCATGCTGCAGAATTACGCTGTACTGTTTAAAGATAAAACCATGACTAAGTAAGAAATGTAATACATTCCACCTGAGGTTATGGATCATGATCATGAAATTATCAATGTGGAAAACCACCAGCCTCGAGGCGAGCAATGCCATTATAAATGACCTCAGCAGCTGCATGTCAAGGGTTCATGCAGGTTATTTAACACATGAAATTACCTTCATTAAAAACACAACGCTTTGATCTGATTGAGGTGTGTTCATTTACTAACGCCGAGACCAACAGTGTAGATCTGCGCTCTCGCGAACTCTCTTAGGAGGCGATGACGCGTAAAGCCCGTCCATCGATCGCTTTGTTAGGAACAGCCTCATTGAAAGCGATTGGATGAACAACGGCGTGAGATCATAGTTGACTAAGTGTTTTTAAAAGATGAGCTGTGGACACCCCGTCTAAAAACGCGACACGAAACCACAGAGACGCTACGCGGCGACCGTTTGACGCACAGTGTGTTTGCTAGTTTGCACATATCACTAGTTTCTTTCAACCCGAATTAAAACATGGCAGACGCGCACTGAGGAGAAACTAAACATATCCCGAATTAAGAGAAGTGCACATGACCCTTTTACACTATTGAACAGAGCTGCTGTCCATGGTGCTCAACATATTATACTGTCAAATGAAATTCGAATTTCGTATATTGTAGATTAATGAAGTGAAACAGCTTCCCTACTGTTGTTAGGCTATATATTACTGCACAATAGTGTGTTTTGAGTTAGTGACTGCTGTGTAAGTCTGTGTAACTGCATGCAACCACTAAATAAAGAACTACCACGTAACATATGCTTTATCTAATCAAAAAAAAAAAAAAATGTGGCAACAGATTACAAACAATATTATTAATTAAATTTAACAAATTAGAATTGAGTAATACCTAATCAAATTAATTCCTTAAAAGTTAACCATTTAAAATGAGTAAAACAACAACGAAAAAAAACCCAAAACAACAACAACAATTGAAGTCGGTTTTCTCCTTCCGTGATTCTGCTTGTTAACGTCAGGTGTCTTCAATGTTGGCAATATAAAATAAAGAGTTCTTAATTAATCTTTGACGTCTGTCTGTTAGTGAGATATTGGTGTAAACTTTTCTCATTTTAAATGGTTAACTTTTAAGGAATAATTTGATTAATTATTACTCAATTCTAATTGGTTAAATTTAAGTAATAATATTGCTTGTAATCTGTTGCCACAAATCTATTGATTAGATAAAGCATAGTGAACATTGTATTTACACATTCATCTATAACATATAATTACAGCATACACTCTATGAACATTATTTGAGATTTGTAAGGCACGTATATCCTTGCATTGCCCATCCTCAGTGTATTTTTGTCAGTCGGAAGAACAATTCAAGGATGACAGTTCCATTTATCGTGGGCTGTAAAGCTCTACCAAAATTGAGTTTTTAATTGCACTGCAGACAGACAAGGCTTTAGCTATTGATACTAAAATTGGCTTGTGCCCCCAGTGCAGCATTGCAAAGGGAAACGTCATTGCAAGTTCCCTTCAACAGCAATTCTGCAATCAGTGTGCTCACCAAAACGAGTAAAAAAAAGAAGATCGCAGAGAAGTGAATTCCCCAACATCTCCTAAGATCGTGTGAAGTGGGTCAGTGAAACGAATAAACAAACTAACAGAGATTCTCTTGTCTGTGAAAACAAATCGTGAAGCTTCTGATGTGAGATGCGTTTGACAGATGATATGTTGTGTGGTCGTGAAGGTGAGGGTCCGTCTAGCACACACTCTTCCATACATTAATGTGTCGTGTGGAGAAGCAGATGAGACCCCTGCATTGATTTTTCTTGGACTGTCATCGTTGTCATCTACTTAATGAACACTTGGGTCAATCGCCTTACCGTCCTCATCATATAAAAGCTGATCCCATAATCATTAAAGGTTAGAGTTTCATTGCTGCAATAAAGACAACTGATTAGATTTGAAGACATATAAATACATGTGTTTTATGAATTATTTACAGTCTCATGAAAAGAACTGGGAATCAGACTAGACGAGTTCTGTCAACCAATGAAGAATACCTGTAATTCATCTAACTAGTGGGAAAAGCTATTTTATTATGCTATTTTAAAAGTTCCTAATTTTGTTGTGAGATTTCCATGCTTTATCTCTTTCCTCAAAGTGTCTGAAATGGTTCAATCACGGATTCGGTTTCTCTTAACCCCTCCTTTCAAAGGGTCTGCTCTGCTCTGATTGGTCAGATGACCCAGTCTGTTGTGATTGGTCTGCTCTGCTCTGATTGCTCAGATGGCCCAGTCTGTTGTGAACTTGTGATTGGTCTGCTCTGCTCTGATTGGTCAGATGACCCAGTCTGTTGTGATTGGTCTGCTCTGCTCTGATTGGTCAGATGACCCAGTCTGTTGTGATTGTGATCCACAGTTACACAAACATTAACGATGCGGTTTTACCATTTCAATTCCAGCGCAAATCCAAAAGTGTGTGCAAAATAGATTTGCTTTTGCAGCACAGAAAACCACACAGAAATTAAACAAATAACTGAATAATCCTGACAGAACCAAAATTAATAAAAAAGAGAAAAGAAAAAAAGAAACTAATTTGTATGTGTGTGTACAGATCTAAAATGACCAGAATACATTTAACGATTAACATATTTTTGGATTAAATTTAATAACATAATATTACTCTGTAAAAATGAATATGCTTTATCTAATCAAAAAATCATCGCAACAGATTACAAACAATATTATTAATTAAATTGAACAAATTAGAATTGAGTAATACGTGATCAAATTATTCCTTAAAAGTTAACAATATAAAATGAGTAAAGTTTAGACCAAAAAATTCAACAAAAATATCTGAATAACAGACAGACGTCAAAGATTAATTAAGAACTCTTTATTTTATATTGTTGACAAGTAGAATCACTGAAGGAAAAAAACGTCATTTTAAAACAAACCTAAAACGAACACTGATCACCATAATGGTGACTTCAATTTATGTTTTTTTTACTCATGTTTTACTCATTTTAAATTGTTAACTTTTAAGGAATTAATTTGATTAATTATTACTCAATTCTATTGTTAAATTGAATTAATAATATTGCTTGTAATCTGTTGCCACATTTTTTTTTTGATTAGATAAAGAGCATTCATCTTTACAGTGTATAAATATAAAAGTATTGATGTCATGTGACAAGAAAACCATAAAACAGGAAATTATGTCACACAGACGAACCGTATAGACCCACTAAATAAATATTGTATTTGGACTTTTTTATGACATGGCAATAAAATGTCATCATTGTCATTAAACAATGATTTTAAACATCAATGTAATAATTCTGAAATGTACAAGAAAAAATAGATTTATTTCCTAATGTCCATGACACCTTTTTTTTTTTTTTTTTTTTTTTTGAGTCATTGAAGATGCCATTACTGCACCACTAGCGTCACCAAATGAAATTGTAAATTTGCCGATCTGGTTGGGACATACAGTATAAACAGTGTTTTAACTTAAATTGAGCAAGTTAACATATAAATGGCTTGGGAAATATTTCTGCAAACCAAACTGAGACAGGAACAATTTCCTTGTTTTACTCCTCTTTATATGTCATCAACCCATTAACAATTTAGTACTATCCCCTAATGTATATTTATGGTAGATCATGGACCAATGTGGTTGGGTTCGATGATAGAAAGTAACACCGATGTTTATGTTGCCAACATCCTCTGAAAAGGTGAGACTTTTTAATCTTTGCTTGTCATGGTGATGGCCCCGATGTGTCAGGACCATTCATTCACATTACCCCACATCTTGAGTTGAAAAACATGCTCTGGAAAACTGTGGGATGTAATGACAGGGGCAAAACAGCATCATTCAAAGAGACAGTTGGCTCAAGCCCCTCCACATCAGCGGAGCCCAGTGACATTTAAACGGGGAAAGAGCCAATTACTCCTTTTTCACCCCTCTCAGGCCGGTAAGGTTGAGGTCAAGTGCTCGGCTACACACATAAGAGCAAGTTTCCTTAAGAGTTTGTTTACCCATGACATCGAAAGCCATGGAATTGCACAGAAATCAGCTAAATTGCAACTTCCTGAAGTGGGCACTGAACTTCCTAAATCGTGTTGTGTTGTCTGCTGCATACAAAATGGCATTACTGAGATATTCTGTGAGATTATAGTTATTGAAATATGTCAGGACACTAGAGTCGCCGTGACACACTTACAGAAATAACTGCTTGGACAGTCTTTAAACGCCACACAGAGGTCTGTCACAACGCTCCTCATGCGATTTGGTTTCATCGCAAACGCTCTTTGCAGAAGTGTGACAGAGGCTTCTGTGTTATCAGCTGAGCAGACTGACACACTTACAGGCCCCCAGGGCCAACTCAGGCATGGTCATGTGACTGCACTCCTCAGTATGACAGCATGAATCTCCAGAACGGATCAAGGGAATGGTGGGTCTTTAAACTGTAAGAGGGAGGGGCACAGTTTGAAGTCTATGTTAAACTGCGTTCACAACTGAAATGTGAAATGGACTATTCAGCAAGGAAACTTGTAGGGTGGGACTTAATTTTATCCAATGAGAATGAATGCG